GCACCTTGCCCCCGCCTTCCACCTTCTCTTTTTCCTCTGCCATTGTACTGCTGGCACATGATACTAAATTTTAAGGTGATAGAGGCTTTCTCTCTTTTTTTTTCTCTCTCTCTGCGGGGGCTGCCCGGGATATCTCAGTGTTTCTCCACCCATCTGTTTTGCAGGGGCTGGCCCGGTTTTATTCTTTTCACCTGCCTTCTCTGTCTGGGGCTCCTGGCCTACCTCAGCCTAGGCTGAATGACTTCCCCTCCCCTACCCAGCCTGTGGGGAGAGAGCATTCCCCTGGGAGTTCCCTGCTTTTAATGCCCTTTGTTCTCGGAGTCTTGTCTCTATCTTCAGTGGTTACACTAAGTGTTACTATTCAGTCAACTTACAACAACCTCCCAAACCCCAAACATTCTGAGGTGAGGAGATTGCACCAGACCAGGACATTTTCTTGGTTGATGTCCAGAGGCCCTTCCAACCCCAACTACCCTTTCACTGCCCAAAACACAGGCAAGAGCCTCAGCAACCACATTTTGGGTAGTTTTCCTCAGCTTCTAAACTTTCCTGACCCTTTTCCTTTGCCATTTCAGAATCCTCACTTCAGGAAAAATGAGGTGTTGGGATCTGCTGGATGTCCCCAAATTCCCTACCCAAACCCTGCAGCAGCAGGTAGAACCTGCCATGTCTGAGTGAAAATACTTTATTTTTCATAAAAAACATATGAAAAAATGCTGCTTTTATCTCTAAACTCTCTAGGTCTTGCCTGCTACACCTCATATCATTTCAGAACATGGGATTTACAAATCTTAAAATCCTTGAGAAAAGTAACATTCACAGTTTAATTTTATTTTGGTGCAAAAAAGTCCCTTTTGCTGTTGTTGTCCTTCCTCCTTGAGCAGCACACCAGGTGAGGAGGTGCTGCGGAGCAGAGGCTCCCCTGCAGCGCTGGAGAAGAATACAGTGAGGTAGGTGTTGCCTCTGTGTCCGAAATGCCTCAGCCTGAGGGACTCAGCCCATGGAAAGGGACCTGGAGCAGTTCCTGAGGGACTCACATCCCCCCAACCCCATCTCCTCCAGGAGCTTTTTCATCAGGTTTTCTCTTGCTGTCTTTTCCTGAAGCTGGAGTGATGGAGCACCTGGGGTCAGCCAAGGTCACCCACCCCAAACCTCCCCCACTTTTAGAATCCCAGGTTGGCTTGGGTTGGAAGGGACTTCAAAGGTCGTCTCGATCCACCCCCTGCCATGGGCAGGGGCATATTCCACTATCGCAGGTTGCTCCAAGCCCTGTCCAACCTGGCCTTGGACACTTCCAGAGATGGAGCAGCTGCAGCTTCTCTGGACAGCCTGTGCCAGGGTCTCACCACCCTCACAGGGAGGAATTTCTTCCCAGTATCCCATCTAACCCTGCCCTCTGGCAGGTGAAAACCCTCAGCCTCCATCCCATTCCCCAGACAAAGACCCTCCCCAGCTCTCCTGGAGGCCCCTTTCTATATTGTATTTTATATTTCTATTAGATTTGTACCTACATCCATATCAGCCGAAAAAGTGGCTCAGGCAGTCCATGACTAATTGTGGCCACCTGGGGTAGCCCCTTTTGGGGGGTGCAGGGGAGTGCCAGGGGTTTGGGCAGATCTATGGGTTGTTTTAGAGAGCCTCAGGAGGTTTTAGAGGGAGGTTTGGGAGGGTCCCTGAGGGTTTATAGGGTGTCTGGCGGGGGGAAGCTGTGGAGCATTTTGAGGGCATTCTAAGGGTATTTGGGATCTACTGGGGAGTCTGTAGGGGATGAAGGGGGTCTCTGGGGTTTTGGGGAGGGTGCGGGGGGCTACAGAACAGTATACTCCAGGTCCCCAAAGTCTTCTCAACCTCTTCTTCATCTGACAGGATTTATGTCCACCTGTCAGGGAAGCTCACCACCCAGATTCTGTTCCCAATTCCCAAGAAAGTTTTGTTGTGCACAACATGCAGGAATGCTTTTCCTGCAATTTCCCTGGCTCCAAGAGGGACCACGGGAGTGGCACGAAAAGGTGGGGGGGCTTGTCCATCCTCCGCATCGGCAATTGCAGTTTTGATTCGAATTTAATTAAAGGCTGAACTATTGCTGATACTGCGATAGGGGCAGGGTCTTTCTCTACATCGTCGTCATCACGCCAGTTCCTGGGAGACACTCGAAGGGCGCTTGGAATCCAGTTGGGAGTGCTTGCAGGATCATTAGAGGGTCTGGAGGGGCACTTAGGGGTCGGGGAGGCAGTTGGAAAGCACTTGGGGGTCCGAGGGTACACGAAGGGGGCATTTTGGGGGCAAGCAGGGGACGGGGGTCGAGCGGACTTAGGGACCCTGAGGGGAACTTGAGGGTCAGAAGAGGGAAACCGGGGGTACTTAGGGGGCCCCGGAGGAGCACTTACGGACTTACGGCCGAGGGAAGCACTTGGGGAGCAGCCGGGTCGGCGCTGCGGGGCCAGGCCCGGCTCTGACGGGACTCTCAGGGGCCGCGGGGCACGACGGGAACCGCAGTCCCGGCTCAACAGCGCCCTACGGGGCCTCGCGGCCTTTCGGGAGTTGTAGTCCAGGAGGCGAGCAAAGCGGCGCGGGCCCAGCGGCCAACGGGAGGCGGGGCCGCACGAGGCCTTGCGGGAGCTCAGGGGCAGCCGCTGACGCGCCACGTCGGCCGCGGGAAGGCGAAGACAGGGGAGCCCCGTTCCCACGGGCTTGGGGGGTCCCCGCCCCGTTACGCCCAATAAACCCCCAGGCGCCCCTATACGCTTCCTGGTCCCCACAGACCCCCCAGCGCTGTCCTGGGCCCCCCAAAACATCCCACGGACCCCGGACCGTTAAAGACCCCCCAAAGCCCAAGGGTCCCGCCAAACCCCTTCCTGGACCCCAATATCTTTTAGATTTTCCCCAGCACTCGTAGAGGCTCCCCCAAAAATCCCACAGACCTCTTCTAGACGCCCTATAGACAGGCAGTGCCCTCCCAACCACTCCCGACTTCCAGCGCTCCCCGAACACCCCCCCAAATCCCTTCTGCAGCTTCAGAGCCCCTCCAAACACCCCACAAACCCTCACAGACCCCCTAGAGACACCCAGTACCCCACCAACAACCTATTTTGAGCCCCCAGAACCTCCCAAATACTCCTGGGGACGATTAGGGGGAGAGGGAACTGTGGGCAATCTCAGAGGCGGGGGAGGTAAGGGAGGGGGTTTTGGGGGTCTCCCCACCTCCCCGGTGCAATTTTGGGGTGTTATTGCTTTAGTGGCCCCACCACGGGTTGGGGGTGCCCAGGTGGGCATTCCAGGAGGGTCTCAATGGCCCTGGGGGAGGAAGGGAGAGCAAATGGGGAGTTAAGGGAACCTAGGGTAGGCGCAGGGGCAGACCCCTGAAATTTGGGGGTGGGGATATCCTACCGAAGGCGTCCCCTTATGGTCCGGCGGTGGCATTGCAGCATCCAGAGGATGGGGTCCTCAAGAGGCCCTGGGGGAGCTGCATGTCACAGGGGGTGGCAGTCCCACAAGTGTTCCCCCAGCCTCACAAGGGACTGCCAGAAGTATCTCCCCAACCCAAAAGTGCCCCTTCAGCCCCTCAAGTTACCCCTGACCCACAGCTGCCCCCCTCGCCCCACAAGAGATCAACCCTGGCCCGCAAATGGCCACCTTAGCCCACAGGGGCACCGCTAGCCCCTGACCCAAAAGGGTGCATCCAGGCCCACCAGTGACCCCTCTGACCCACAAATGCCCCCCAGCCCCACAAAGGTGCCTCATGACACTCAATCATCCCCCAGCCTTGGAGTGATCCCCATGACTGACAAGTGAACCCCAAGACCCAGAAATTACTCCCATGACCCAGAAGTGATCCCATGACCTACAAGTGACCCCCCATGACCCACAAGCGACCTGACGACCCTCGAGCGACCCCCATGACTCTCCAGGGCTCCTCTGGCGCCTCACCCCGTGGCTGCTGCCACGGCGCCCCCTGCGGGGCACCACGTGCGCTGCTCCTGACTGAGGGCGGGGCCTCACGGGGACCACATGACCTCAGGCCCCGCCCTCCCCGGCACAGGGGCTCCTCCCTTGGAGGCTGCAGGGCATCCTGGGAGTCACGTGACTTCCAATGTGGCACACACCACAGAGCCCCGAGGCAGTCATGTGACCCCCAAAGTGGCTCCTGCAGCAAAGGCTGATGGGACTCTCGCTTCCCACAGGGTGGCGCCCCCTGGTGCAGAGGTGCGCAGCAGCTGCTGCTGATTTGCCCCGGGGCGTGGTGGGAGTCACGTGGCTGTGCGCATCGTGCCACCCGCAGGGTATCCAGAGAGCTGCTCCTCGTTGGCCCGAGAGCCTGGTGGGAGTCCCCTGGCCGCCAGGAGGGATCCTGCCAGAAGGGCGCCTGGGAGACAGCCCGGGGAGAAGGCAGCCCCTGGTGCTTGCAGAAGTGTCTCCTGATTGGCCAGGGGGCCTCAGGTGGGTCACGTGGCCGGCAGGGCGCAGCCCCCTGCACGGCCCCGGGAGGGTCACGTGACCTGCACCGCGCCACTCCCTGCAGGGAGCCCAGCTGGGCCCCGCCCGCCAGGGGCGTGTCCAGTGCGGGCTCCTCCCCCCGGCACCGCCTCGAGCGCCATTGGAAGAGGGGGTCATGGGGGGTGGAGCTGCAGGGGGCGGAGTCGAGCAGAGGCTTCGTCCTCTCTGCGCCGGGGCGGCGGGGCCTGAGCTGGGCCTGGCTGTGGGGGAGGAGAGCGTTGGGGAGGGGCCAGGACCCCCGGAACGCTGACCCGGCACTGACCCTGCAGCGATGATGGTCTCAGGAGGAATTTGAGGGACTGCGGGACGCACTTGTGGGCAGAATGGGGGGTCCGGGGCATCACCTGGCATCGGCTGGGGTAGTTGGGGGTCTCTGAGGCGCTCTTGGAGAACACTGGGGCAAGGGAGGGAATTGGCAGGCACTTAGGGGCCTAGGGAGCACTTGGTGTCTGGGACAACACTGAGGGAACGGGGGAGCAGATTGGGGCCTCCCGGGGGCACTTGGGGATCCCGAAGGGCACTTGAGGCCGGGCTGCTCTCCCACCTCCTTTGCACCAGACGCTCCGTTCGCTGCTCCAGGCTGAGCCTCTGCGGGAGGTATGAGGGAAGTGACGCGGGGCCCTCCAAATTCCCCTCCGGGATCCTCCGAATTCCCCCCTCGGTCCCCTCTGGACCCCTCAGGCCTCACCTGCTCCATCGCCCGCGCTCTCATTTGGTTTCGCCGCAGCGGTCCGAGCTCGGGCGCTGATTGGTCAAGGGCGGGGACGGGCGGGCGCTGTGGCCAATGGGAGGCAGGAGCAGGGGAAGGCGGGAAGCGGCGGCGCCGAGCGCGGCGCGGGAGGGAGGGGTTCCGTGGGAGGGCTCTGGGGGTTCCCGGAGCGGTTTGGGGACTCTGGAGGCACTGGGGGAGGCCCTGGGCTATCAGTGGAGATCCCTGAAGGGGTTTGCGGGTCTGGGGCGGCTGAGAGATGCCGGGGGGTTCTGCGGGTCACTGAGGTGATTTTGAGGGTCCCAGAGAGGTTTGGGGTGGAGAGAGGTTGGTATGGTTCTGGGCGTCCAGGAGGTCGGGTGGGTCCCCATGTGGTTTGGGAAGCCCTCGGGATGGTTAAAGTGGCAGAGAGCTGGGATCCCACTGACAGAGACCCCCCGCCCCAATCTCCCCTAGAAACTCCAAACCCTCCCAGGGACCCCCAAATCCCAACAGGACTCTCAGCTCCCCTTAGATCCATAAGCCTGTCCAAGGGTATGATACCAAAATTGGATGGCACGTACACGTTCTAACACAGTGTCAAGCGTTAGAAAGCAGGTGTTCTTTATCTGCCCAGGACACGCTGAAGGATTTCTCCTTTAATCTGATGCATGCAGTGAAACTTTACCACAGGGTATAGTCCTGGAGGGACCTTGAACAGGTCTCTGGTGGTCATATTCCCAGAATGTTTCCATATTACAGGTGACCTTTCCTTGAACCTTTTTTCCTTGAGCATGCACTGTTACTTGTTACATAACTTGACAAAAACTCCACTATATTCCTCATTACCTATTTGTCCAGTGGCTCCAGCTATGCTTGTGATCCTCTAAGCACACCTTTACATCCTTTCAGATTTTTTGCCAGGTAGTCTTTAGGCTCCATCCAGCGGCTTCAGGGCAATTGAAAATGTCTCTTCTCTGTGTCATTTATCAGGAGCCCCAAAACCCTCCCAGGGACCCCCATCTCCCCTTAGGGGCCTTGTGGTTTGGGAGGTTCAGAGGGCTGAGGGGATCCCTGGGTAGTTTTGGGGGATCCTCATGGGGTTTTGGGGGTCCCTGGATGGCTCTGGGGGTGAGGTCTCCTGTCTCTGGACCGTTTTGAGGATGTCTGTGGGGTTCAGGGTTTCGCCATGTTTCTGTCTTCATTTTAAGACAAAAGCCCTTTAATTTCCTGTTTGCCTTAGTCTGTCCTGGCTCCAGCTGGTTTTCTTCAGCTTTTTAGTCATTTGGGCCAGAATTTTCCATTCCTTGGAATTCCCTGCTGGCACTTGGGTCATTAATTTTGGGTAAAAGACATTTGGACTTGGTCTGTCCTTCCCCGGGTGCCATGGGGCCAGAGGGTGCCATGGGGCCAGAGATTCTGGGAGTGCTTGGGTGTTTTTTATTTGGGTCTAGAAGGAGTGACTTTGGGACAAACACTCTGTCTGCAGGGGTCCAGGAATTCAAGAGCCAAGGGGCCGGTGAGTGGGGGAGAGTGGGGAAGAGTGGAGAGACTTCTTTCCCTGTTTATATCTGGCTTTCCTTATTGTTTGGTGATGAGCAGAAATTGAGGATTTTTTCTGCCGAAATTTCAGATTTTTTTTACCCTTTCCCTTCCCCAGTTTTATGACTTTGCCTCCTTTTCCCCAGAAGTTTCATAATTTTAATCCTTTTTCTTCCAAAATTTAGGGTTTTAAACTCTTTGCTTCCCAAGTTTTAAAATTTTTTGCCCATTTCCCCCTAAATCTCTGGATTTTTCCCTTCTTGTTCACTTTTCTCCCAAATTTCAGATTTTTTTTTCCCCTCATCATGCCCAAAATTTGGTGTGTTTTTTTCTTCCCCTTTTTGTGGCCAGATTGCACATT